AGATATCAGAAAATGTCAATTTTTCTCATTTTTATTAGTTTTATGTTAAATTAAAAAAAATAATTTATGTGCTTTTTTATTAATGTGAGGTTGATTTTTCTTCTTTGCATGTATGTATGTGCACATGACTGTGTATGTACACCTCTATGTGTGCACATGTGTAGGATGCTGTAGAGATTTCTTCTTTTCAGAATTTACTTGTCACTTTCTACTCTCTTGTTATTCCTTTTCTTTGTCATTTTTATTTTTTGCCTCTGAGTATCAAATGATAATGTGGCAAATTATTTCAAAGAGATAATTTTAAATTTTGGTTAATATTCCATAAGAGTTTTCAAAAGTTTTTCAAAATATAGGTGTATTCACTTCTTTATTTATTTCTGGCTTAAATAATTTAAAAAAAAATTTATGCCTTAAAACTTTAAATATATATATATATATATATATATATATATATATATATATATACCCAATTTAAACTCAGGAATAATAGACATTAATTCAGGAGAGCTCAATATAAACTACAGATAATAATAATAATAATAATAATAATAATAATAATAATGATAATAATAATAATAATAAACAAGAAAACCTTAAAGATTCATTATATATATATATATATATATATATATATATATATATATATATATATATATATATATATATATATATATATGTGTGTTGTGTGTTGTAGCATACCTATGGATGATAATGGGCATATTCCTTATTCACATACATACAGTAGTAAATACTGTATGTTGGTCTGCAATTGAGATTCATTGTGGAATTCACTTGACTCATTTCTAGCAGTTGACTACTTCATCTACAAGCTGCTGGCGAATCTTATGTGTCGTTCGTGTCCTAAATATTATTGCTCATTACCAACCTTTTTGTGTGATTATTTTATTCAGTAACCTTCCCTAGCTTACAACAATATATATATATATATATATATATATATATATATATATATATATAAAATAAAAGAACATTGAAGTCAATATTTAATGTGACAGGCTTTTTCATGCTAGACGCAATCTAGCATGAAACAGCCTGTCACCTCTAAGTGTTGACTTCAATGTTCACTTTTATATTTACACATGCTCTATCTCTGATACTGAGCATTTTATCCCATAAATATAGCACACCTTAAGAGTATATTTCTTTATATATATATATATATATATATATATATATATATATATATATGAATGATAATATATATATATATATATTATTATTATGACTCTTTCAGTCCTATAATTATAAGTTTAGATAATATTTCTCTGTTGATGGAAATATATTGTGGCTTTTTTTAATGAATAAAACTTTTCTTAATTATTGTTATTGGTGTGTTTTACATGTTTATGCAACAAATTTATTATAATTCTCATTTAATGAGTAATTATATCTTAAGTTCAAGTTTTGATTTAATGTATATTGTAACGGAGATTGCCTCTTATGTTATTTTTTTTCAACAGTATGACAATATTTTCCATAATTGTAAGGCTATAAGCATTTTTGAACTGGGGTATGTAAACACCATTCGTGGCTATCCATTTTCAAGATGACTAATGTAAGATTAAAGCTGATGAATAGTCATGTTTTTGTTTCGTTTTTTAGTGAAGCTTTAAAATAGGAAAAATAATTATCTTTCAGATTACAATTATTTAATTAAAAATTAACCTAATACAAGATTTGAGAGCCACTCAAGGTAGAGGGCCACTGTTAAAATGGTAATGAGGAATAGATGTATGATATGAATAAAAGAGAAGATGGTAGGAAGTGAAGATTATGAGGATAGATAACGATTGATCTTTGACTTTGAAGAAGTTAAGACTGAAGTTCAAGAAAACATGTATATGAAAAGCTGTTCCACAAAATGCCAGTTCTTGGGAAATAGCAGAGTGGAACTTTTTATTGAAATATCAAATATAGCAGAAATTCATCTGGGCATTGAATATTACTGCCACATTGTGTGGCAGTAATATTCAATTATTACACATTGTGTGGCACTTCTACTATATATTTAGAAATTCTTCATAAAATACAAAGAAGAATCTATGTTATTGGTCCTGACCTGTTGACTCATAACATAGTTTCCCCATGATTTTTCTATAAATATTTTCATATTAATTTTTGATGTAATGGAATAACCTGTCACCCCCATGAGTGACTATTCTATAGGTAGTAACTACCTATAAGTATCTGTAAGTCAACAGACTACAGAGTCTAGCTGCGACCTGTTCCGGCTAAACAGTTGAACTCTCTGCCTTCAGGCAGAGAGGAACCCGGACGAGGCCCCACCGAAGGGCAGAGTCTCATTCGGGGAGGTAGACTGCACCTGAACCCATTTATGCGGGTTCAAAAAGGGAATATTTTTGGCTGAGCTTACAGACTCAGAGAACTCATGTTAAACCGGCCTTTTGCCACATGCAACCCTCGTGGTAGGGTAGCTAAATATACTAGCTGGGATCTGTTTCAGCTAAACCCACATTAAACTGGCCTTGTGCCACACGCAACCCATGTGGAGGATAGCTAAATATACTACCTGCAACCTGTTCCAGCTAAACAGTCGAACTCTTTGCCTTCGGGCAGAGAGGAACCCGGACAAGGCTACGCTGCAGGGCAGAGTCTTGTTTGCGGAGGTAGACTGACCCTGAACCTGTTTATACGGGTTTGAAAGGGAATATTTTTGGCTGAACCTTTACTTATTCTATTCACTGTGTTTGTCAAGTATATATTCCTATTAACATGGAATATAACAATTTTTCTGGTGAGCTTTTGTCTTTGGTTCTTAGACTTCATAATTTTAAGTGCATTACTAGATTGGCAGTAAGGTCTCATCATCTTATAATGGAAATAGCTAGATGAAACTGTAAGTTCTATGCTAACAGTTTGTTTTCTCACACTTTTTCACTTGTGGAAATGTCTTTTCTGGCCTTGCTTTCCAATAAAATTTGATCTTCAAAAATTTAAATGCAATGTCAATTGTTATTTTCTGAATTCTTAATTTATATTCTATCATTGTTTTCTCTTTCTAATAATATTTTTCTTTTTATCATATTCTTTTACACTCAGTAACCCCTTGCATTTTAGTGGCTTTGTTGCCTTGATTTGATTTAAAAAATTGTTTTGATTCTGTAGAAGTGGAATTGTCAAAAAACAGAAAATTATTGTTAGAAACTAGGAAAAGACTACTGAAATGGTATATCATATCAGTTCTCCTATATGGCAGTGAATGCTGGACAATCTTCTCAAAGATGAAGAGGAGACTTAAAGAAAAAGAAATGTTGCTCTACAGAAGGATGCTGAGGATACCAAGAAACAACAAAGTTCTTGAGAAAATGGAAACAAAAAGAACAGTTATTCTTAAAGAAAGAGACAGTTGAAATTTCTAGGGTGCATAATGAGGAAAGAGGTCTTGAAAAATTTGATACTCACAGGACAGATTGAAGGCAAATGGACTGAGGAAAATAATAACATAACCTACTTAGTGAGCTTGAGTCAATGAATGGTGAAACAAGGTTTAGGAAAAATAACAAAAAGAGAAAATTTATTAAGAACTATGAAGTACAGGAAATTGTGGAGATCCATGATTACCAACGTCATGAAGAGACATGGCGTATAAAAGAAGAAGTGATATCTTTTTTTGTAGTGTTGTTTCATTGCTTTCTAGATTTTTTGGTTGAATGTAGGAAAATTTTAACCTTATCAAAATTTTATCTTTTCATACATTTTAGTTAATGTTTTAACTGCCAACATTAGTTTTTTTTGGTTTGGTTTGTTTTACGACAAATCAACCTCAATGGCTCATTTAATGCCGACAACTTTTTTTTTCTGGTAATATTTTTGTTTTGTCAAAAATCTATTTCTGGAAATATTTTTTCCTCAAAATTGTATAGCTGGTAATGTTATTTTCAAAAACGTATTGCTGGTACTATTTTTTTTAAAAAAATTTCTGGTATTAAAACCTATTTTTACACTTTTATAATGCTTTTTACCTCAGTATCAGGGTTAACTATTTGCCCATAGCTGGGACCCTAACAGGTACTACCACCCCGGGTCAGGGTGGACCTGGGAACACCAGCAATTAAGAAGTAGTTCCATGCTCCTCAAAACCTCCTGATCAGAGGCCTTGCTGTTGGACATAGTTTATTGTCTTACCTTGGACAAGGATGTAGTTTATCTTCATACTCAGGACGGGTCAACATTAGTGTGAGTTTTAAGATACAAATATTTTTTAAATGGTGCTTACTGGTCAAAAAAGTTTGATGACCCCTGATCTATAGTAATATGCAAAAAAAAAAAAAGGAAAATAAACTATTATTTCTAGTCGCAGTGCCTTTTTTAAAATCCACCCAAATATAAGTATATTCTGTGCTTCTTCTTAAACAGTTATCTCCCTTTTTTGATCCTCTCAGCTAAGGTAACAATTCATGGAAGTTTAATGCTGAACAGTAATACTCAATACAATGTAAGGCATACTGTAAAAAAATAGCAATCCAATGAATTTGGTTCTTCTTTTGAACAATGTAGGCAGCAACTTTCTTTAAAGTCTTATATATCAAAATGTCTACCCAAGACTCTGCAGTCAAAATCTGCCAGTTGTGGTGTTAGGAGTTTGCTTCATTGAATTTTTCTCTGAACATTTCAGTGAATCTTTTGATATTCTTCAATAATCACACAGTTGGCTAGATAATAAGTTAATGGCCAAAAGGAAAATACAAATAAGGGAAATAGTAGATAAAATGGAAATTCAGTGTCCTCAGAGAGAGTATGAGGAAGGAGATATACAAAGAGAGGGGTAGGAGAGCATTGGGGATGATATAAAGAGAGGAGAATAAGGAGAAAAAGGAGATTACAGATTAGAAAGGAGATTAGAGAGGAGGATAAGAAGAGAGAGAGAGAAAGAGGAGACTTATAGAGAGAAGAATAGAGAGAAATACAGATAGGAGAATAAAGAGAGAGAGAGTGGAGTTATATAGAGAGTAGGATATTTAGATGGAGAGGGAGTGAGAGGAGATATATATAGCGTAGAGAATAGGAAGAGGGAGGAAATATATCAAGATAGAGTGAGAAAGAGGATGGGGAAAGAGAGCAGATATATAGAGGGGAGAATAGGGAGAGATAGATAAAGAAGATATAAAAGGAAAGAGAGAGAGAGGAGATATATAGAGAGGAAGATAGGGAGAAGTAGAGAGGAGATATATAGAAAAAATGATGGGGGAGGTAGAGAGAGGAGATATACAGAAAAAAGAAGAGGGAGAGAGAGGAGATATATAGAGGGGGATAGAGAGGGGATATAGAGAGCAGAGGATAGGGAGAAAGGGGAGATATACAGAAAGTAGGATAGGAATAGAGAGAGAGGAAATATACAGAGAGGAGGATAACGAGAGAGAGAGAGAGAGAGAGAGAGAGAGAGGAAATATACAGAGAGGAGGAGAAGGAGAAATAAAGGAGAAGAAGAATAGTGATGAGAGATATAGAGAGGAAGAGGAGAGGGAGAGATATTTAGAGTGGAGGATAGGGAGAGAGAGGTGGATAGGTAGAGGGAGAGAAAGATAAATTAGCTGACAAAGAAGGGAACATAAATAAAACTTTGACTGCAACCAAGTACAAAGCAAATAGACAGTAAACACTCTTGCAACTCCAATTGGGTGTGAAAGTTTATTTTTTGCAAAAATTGGTTTGCCCTTGAATTTCATCTTTTCATCCAAGCAAAAAAATCTTTTTGATACTCGGCAAGACAGAAGATTAATAAAATGGAAACCAGTGGTTTTGAGAGGAAATTTTCTCTTACTAACTTTTCTTTTATATCCATGGAAAAGCAAAAACTATCAGGACTGTTGCTGTGCCAACAGAACTAAAGTACATAGAATGAAGCTGGTAAACACAGATTGACCTTGAACTCTGTTACACATACACACTAAGTTATAACATTCTCATTCACCTCTATTGTTTATAGCAGTGTTTGGAATGAAAGTGTGTAGAGTGCAGTTGTCTCCCCACGTTACAGAGGTTCCATTAGTGACCATGGCTTGTGCAGAAGTTTTTGACCAAGACTACATTCCCTGGCCCCAACAACAACCATATTTGCCAGATCCAACCCCTTGTAATTTTATCCTCTTCAAAAATCAAATCACATTTGAAAGAAACAAGATTTCAAGATGTCAAAGCAATCCAAGAGAATGTGACAAGGCAGATGCTCTGTATCCTAAAAAGGAGTTCAAGGAATGATTCTATTAATGGAAAACAATGCTGGATAAAGTGTGTAGCTTCAGAAAGGGACTACTTTGAAGGAGATTACTAAATGCTGAACATATCAGGTCAGCATTTAATCTCCTTCAAAGTAACATATTGTTGTTGTGTGACACTATTTAGGGTTGCGTAAAAAAAAAATAGGCGAGATTTATTAAGGTGATAAGAAGCTATCACGAAAAGACACTGAGCGAGGTTATTTTTTCTAACAAAGAAAAGTGGTAAAGATTTTATTTTCATTAGCAAAGAAAGTAAGATCTCGGATCTGTTGGATTTAATTTGATTTATGTTATGACAGAGCGAATAAAAGATAGCTGTCTGCCCATGGCAATAATGAAAATTTCAAATTGGTCAAGTGGCCTACAAAACAGAATGCTAAGAGATAATATTAATCAAGTCACGCACTGACCGAGAAAAATGTCAGCTGGACCACCCACAAGTTAAAAAGAAGGAAAGATTAAACCATTAACTATCTTCGGAGATATCATTTGGGAAAAACACTTGTTTTATGTCAGAGCTGGCCATGATAGAAAATTTTTTATTGAAACAGATAATTGGCAACAGAGTGCGGAAAATCATTGACCAACCTCAATGATTATTTGACAAAAATCTCGTTGATGAACTCCAGATGAAATTCGGGTAAGATAGAGATTAGGGACCATCCTATGAGTCGTGTGAGGTCTGCTCGTGGAAGAGAAAGAAAAAGAAAAAAAAGGAAAGAAGATAATTTTTTTTCCTTTGAGCGATAATTGCAAACACACACGCTGTTGAGCGTTCATTGGCTGAAGGGTGGTGTGAGCGGTAGGCGAAGGTAAACTATGAAGAAGGAGGGGAGGCCTGTTGATGCTCCCTGAAGATATTGATGTGAGATGTCACTGTGAGAGAAAGGGGAACCTGTTTACGCCATCTGAGAGGATTGGTGTGAAATACCAATATGAGAAAGGAAGAATTTGGGAGGCCGATTCCCTTTAAGTAGAAAGTAAGGACTTCCAAAAATGGAAAGTAATAAATTTTCCTATCCGAAAACAAAGAAGATCCTTATTGTGGATTTAGAATTATCAAGGAACCTCAAACCCTGACATGCCCACCCCGGTTTTGGTCGGCATCCATATAAGCAGAGTCGCAGCGAGTGGACGGCAGTTGGGGTTAGTAAGAGACATGTAAGTAGTTGAGTTGGAAGTTGAGTCAGAGAGAAGTTAGTTGCAGTTGAGCTGTGAGCTCTGAGACCCGCCTCACAGGAAGCTGACTGAAGATCCATGCATCATGACCTCAACTTCTAATCAAGAACAATTTATTTTTGATGAATGACTTAGACTCACATGACCAAAACAAGTTTTATAAATATTGCCTGAAGATACACCAAAAACCAGTTTCTTTAAAAAAAACAACTTAAGATGTTAAGACAAATACAAAGTGTCATGAATCCACATAAGCGGGTTGGGAAAAAGACGCAGTCCTGTATTCAGCAACCAGATATAAAATATTGTTATTCTTTTTTAACACATTAGAACTTTTTGAGTTGTTACTTTATTTTCTTTTACATATACTTGTGCGGTATTACCCTTGTTTGGACTCGACTTGCATTGAGGCCCAGTGACTGATTGATTTTGTCTACCTAAGATCAAATCACAACGTGGGTAGGTCAAACTAGAAATCAAAGCAGTTACTTCGGTAACCAGACATTGGAGGCGAGCTGCGAACGACAAGGCTGATACTGAATCTAACCAGATTCCCATCCGAATCAGCAAAAGGTTACAACATCACGTTTGGTGCCGCAACCAATACCAAGTCACATTGGTCATCACAGGAGAGACGGAGTGTAGGGCAGAGAGGCCATGGGGTGATGTCACAGTTGTAATTTTCTTTTTATAGCATCAGTCCTGATACTTTTTATCAGACATTGTATATATGTGTGCATGTGTGTGTGTGTGTCAACATCATCACTTGATAAGACACCAGAGGTGTTGAAACAAAATGGCTATTTTTGTAGGGATTTTATAACATATTTATGTTATAATTTTAAATAAATAATTATATATATATATATATATATATATATATATATATATATATATATGCATAAATTTCAAGATTGGTTATTCCTAAATTTTTGCTTGAGGATGAAACATGGCTTGATACTTTAATTCAATTTAATTTTAATAATTATATTGAGGTTTTTAGCTCTTGTTTTTGAAACGTATGAACTCTTATGTAGCAAAGGAATCATATTTTTTTTAAAATAATTATATATATATATATATATACATATGTGTATGTAAAGGGTGCGATGGATAAATTGTCGCCATTTTATATTTTAATTTTGTGCATGTGCATTGTTTGTTTTTGATTTTTTGACTGTACAGTATATATAAATAGGTATATGTATAATAAGAAAACATACATGTACACACAAAAGAATTTTACATATGTATAAATATATTTTCTCCAATACAGTGTTCAATGTTATGAGACAGAGCTATAACTGTATATTAGTAAATATATATAATATCCAGCATTAATAAAACACAGAGTTTCATACAGTTGCTGCAATCGTCAGATGCAAATACAACTGCATGAAACTTCAAGTCGTGCTATTGAAACTGGATATCATGTATATTCACTAATATATATATATATATATATATATATATATATGTGTGTGTGTGTGTGTGTGTGTGTGTGTGTGTGTGTGTTATTTTATATGTGTAGTACTTAGTAGAAAGAGCTCAATTTCAGTTATAGAGCTAACATATATATATCCATACAACTGAAATATATATATATATATATATATATTATATGAATCATTCATACAAAAAAAACAGATTAGTGAAGTTAATGATATAAATGCCGAGAATACATGTTCACAAACAAATTTATTAAAATTACATTAACCCACGAACCACTAGATGAATGTTATGATCCCTGTTTTTAATAAATTCAACTTGTATAAGGTCTTTTTTTGCTAGTATTTTTATCTGTTCATACAGACATCATCAGGCATGTTTTTTGTATGAATGATTCATGTAATATATATATATATATATATATATATATATATATATATCCAAGGATTGGTGTATATTGAATAAATCCCAATAACCTAAAAAATACTCTTCTTAAAAGAGTGCTCATTACAGAGTATAGCAAATATAATTAATAATTAATAACCCTTTATTCTACATTCAACACCATCACTTGATAAAACACCAGAGGTGGTGAAACAAAAATGGCTATTTTGTAGTGATTTTATAACATATTTATGTTATAATTTTTGAATAAATTACATATATATATATATATATATATATATATATATACATATATATATATATATATATTAAGAATTGGACAAAGTCTGACAATTTATTAAAGACATTTTTATGTTTAACATTCTTTTTATAGATACAAGTATTTAAGTAAATGCTCTGTTTATAATAAACAGTATTAAATAACATTTACCGGCCTGAATGTCCGAGAAATTTTCATAGAAAACATTTATGCTGATGTGCCTTGTGGCCGAGTTGGTTAAGGCACGTCAGCGTAAATGACGGTTCCGTATAGGATGCAGGTTCGAATCCTGTCAAAAGATGAATATTTTCTATGAAAATTTCTCGGACATTCAGGCCGGTAAATGTTATTTAATACTGTTTATTATAAACAGAGCATTTACTTAAATACTTGTATCTATAAAAAGAATGTTAAACATAAAAATGTCTTTAATATATATATATGTTCTTTTTGTAAAAATGTCTTATTGAAAAGAATAGTCATTTTATGTCTAATTTATTGTGCATTTTTTTTCTAGTATAAGTTATTGGGAGAATAAACTTGTGACCCAATATGAATTTTGGTTATTTTATATATAAAAAACAGCCAAATGTTATTGCAAAATGTTATTCGCATGCTAGAAAAAACTATCAACAATTTTAATTTTAATCTATCTATCCTTGAAAAATGCACTATCTTTATCAGTAAATTAGTCATTAAGATTTTACAATATAACAGTATGAAGAGACACTAGTATAATAGAGTGAATATACTGGTGAATTGAAAGAGTGAAATCAAGATAGGAATGATAAAATCCTGTTTCATTATCGCAAGTTCACTCTTATATATTTCTACAGAAATACATCTCTAGGTCATAATAACTATAAGATGTTAAGTAAGAGGAAGAAACAAATCAACAGATGGTAGACTTGCCATGACACAACACCATTGTAGAGCACCAATCAAGTAGACCCCAAAAGTATATTTGCTTCCAGAGCCCCGAGGTCAAAAAAGAAAACACATTGACTAAGAATTAATCTGACAACCGATTCTATTAATAAAATTGGAAACTAAAGGAACTTTCTGCAGACAATGAAATGTAGACAGATTTTTATGATGAATGTGTGGAAATGGAGTAATTCTGGACCTTATTTATTTGATTTCATGGCAAGTCTTA